ACTGGAAGAAATTACGCCGTTAGTTACTGGAGTAAAATCTTACCTATAAGACAATCGGGTGACCCTAAAGGCAGGAACGGTGGAATGTTGGAATGGCGGAATGGCGGAAGGTTTTTACGTTTCTTTTCTTCTCGATTGCAAGTGTAGATAGAAAGTAGATCTTTTCAAAACCAATCTTATATTGGTTGTTCGAGTTCATCAATTATTTCTTCCATACTTGGTCTTATATTGGTTGTTCGAGTTCATCAATTATTTCTTCCATACTTGGTCTTTTTTCAGCATCTTGTTGCAGGCATCCCCGAATGAGAGCTCGAAGCACACCGTTTGTCACCATGGCAACTTGCTCGTCGCGCCTGTCAGGATCGGGAAGTTCCTGGATGCAAACCTCACAGAGTAGAACTCCAAAACTGTACACATCAACCTAAGCTCGGAAAGAGAATAACAATGAAAAGTTGAAAATGCATGAACGTGCCAGTTAGTTTAAATTGCTATATTTTTATTTATCTTTTCCTTCTCCTTTCTTTTCTTTTCTTTTAGCAGTCTGCTTACATCAGAGGAATGTTGTCTCATTGCTATCCAAGCATCTCACTCATTTTAGCTCAGTGAAGGGAGAGAAATTGGCTCGACTTCTCTCAGCTGGTTAAAGTTAATGTTTTTTTATGATCTGTCCTGCGGCATGTTCCCTAAAGACTGATATTACGTAAAGCACCCGACCAGTTTACCAAGGATAAGATTTGAACTATAGCCAGAGATTAGACGAGAATTTTTTGTACCGAGTCCTTCAGAGATTGATTTTCAATCTTATGATGAATAAACTCCATAGCAATCACAATCAAACAATTGAGAAATAGAACTCCAGTATTCAAATTTCAGACATACCTTGACGGTTTGGTGTTTAGTATGCACTTCAGGTGCACTGTATATAATAGCACCTGGACCAACTGTCATGGTATGCTGCAAAACATTTGCCGTGCCATAATCTGACACTTTGCCTCGCCATTGGTCAGCTTGCCGCCACAGCAACACATTGGCACTGCTGATGTCGCGGTGAATAATGGGGGATGGTTTCTGTAAGTGGAGGTAGTTTAATGCTCGAGCAACATCTAGAGAAATGACAGACACTTCAAGTGAAGAAAGAGACCGCTGTTCTAACAGTGCTCGTAAACTAGATTCCATGAGCTCTGTCACAAACAAAGGACTTCCTTCATCGTTTGTTGCCCCAATGAACTGCAGCAAACAAGGATGGCGGCATCTGGCGGCAATGCTCATCTCTCGCTCAAACATTCTACGGTTGTGATCAGAAAGTATCAATTCGTGTATCTGTTTGACAGCGACAGCACAGCCACAGTATTTGCCTTCGATAACACTTCCCCAGCCTCCCTTTCCAAGGCATTTGCCCGTCAGCTGAATCTGATCGCGTGGAATGAGCCAATTAGGAGTCTGACGGCGTGAACGTTCGTTAAGCGCCCTTTGAGCTGCTGAAAGAGACGTCTTCAGTTCGTCTGTTTCGTGCTGTTTGGCCCTCAGCAGCCTTTCCAAGGAAGTAAATTCTTCATTTTTTTCTTGTAGTTGCCGTTGGACATCTGTCAAATGATTTCTTATCTGCCTCAGTTGTCCATCTTTCTCTTGTAGTTGCCCTTCGACGTTTGTCAATTGATGTGTCTTCAACCTCAGTTGTCCACCTTTCTCTTGTAGTTGCCCTTGGACATTAGTCAACTGTTGTGTCTTCTGCCTCAGTTGTTTATCTGTCTCTTTTAGCTGCCCTTGAGTATTTGTCAATTGTTGTGTCTTCTCTCTCAGTTGTCCATCTCTCTCTTTTAGTTGCCCTTGAGTATTTGTCAACTGCTGTGTCTTCTCTCTCAGTTGTCCATCTCTCTCTTGTAGTTGCCCCTGAGTGTTTGTCAACTGCTTTGTCTTCTCCCTCAGTTGTTCATCTCTCTCTCTTAGTTGGCGATCTTTTTCTGTTAGTTGTCCATCTCTCTCTTGTAGTTGCCCCTGAGTATTTGTCAACTGCTTTGTCTTCTCCCTCAGTTGTTCATCTCTCTCTTGTAGTTGCCCCTGAGTATTTGTCAACTGCTGTGTCTTCTCCCTCAGTTGTCCACCTTTCTCTTGTAGTTGCGCTTGGACATTAGTCAAATGCTGTGTCTTCTGCCTCAGTTGTTTATCTGTCTCTTTTAGCTGCCCTTGAGTATTTGTCAATTGTTGTGTCTTCTCTCTCAGTTGTCCATCTCTCTCTTTTAGTTGCCCTTGAGTATTTGTCAACTGCTGTGTCTTCTCTCTCAGTTGTCCATCTCTCTCTTTTAGCTGCCCTTGAGTATTTGTCAATTGTTGTGTCTTCTCCCTCAGTTGTCCATCGCTCTCTTGTAGTTGCCCCTGAGTGTTTGTCAACTGCTTTGTCTTCTCCCTCAGTTGTTCATCTCTCTCTTGTAGTTGCCCCTGAGTACTTGTCAACTGCTGTGTCTTCTCCCTCAGTTGTCCATCTTTCTCTTGTAGTTGCCCCTGGGTTTTTGTCAATTGCTGTGTCTTCTTCCTCAGTTCTTCATCTCTCTCTCTTAGTTGGCGAGCTTTTTCTGATAGTTGTCCTTCTCTCTCTTGTAGTTGCCTACGGACATTTGTCAACTGCTGTGTCATCTCCCTCAGTTCTCCATCTCTGTTTCTTAGTTGCTCTTGAACGTTTTCCAGCTGCTGTGTCGATTCTGTTAATAGTCCTTAGATAATGAAAATAGAACAAGGAATTTTTCAGTTTGTCTCACAGAGCGTGAACCGAAAACTCAAAACATATTCCTCTCTCCCATCCTCTCTCTCTCTCTCTCTCTCTCTGGGTAAGTTTCATATCAAAAGACGTTCAAACTTAGGATTTAAATCATTTTGGACTCCATTTTAGATTACTTGGCACCCAGCCTGCTATCCGCGTAAAACATTTTTGTAATACATTCAGTTCTCCTCCGTTACCCAATATCTTTACCTAAAAGCCCATAACAGAACCCACTAGTCCTTCCGACAATAATTTTTCTTTACAAATTTGTTCCTCCACACTATAAAATTAAAAGAGTTGATTTGGCCCCAAAAACGGGGCCAAAACGAGTGAGTCCAGTTTGGTACTCGCTTAGGGTCAATTCGGCCCCATTGAAATGGGGCTGTTTTTGGCACCAATTTTGGGGCTGAATCGACCCCGTTGTAGGGGCCACATTGGACCACGTGAAGGGCGAATTTGAAAAATACAGGGGCCACTTTGAAATTTATAGGGGCCAAAACAGCCCCCAAAATTTCAGCCCTCTCACAAAAAGCCCCTTTAAGAATAGCCAATTCAGCTCCAATGTGGGCCACTTCAAGAGTAGAGGGCTCTTTCCTATCAATACTGATTTTCCCCCTTAAAGTCAAATAATGAAAATACACTATATACTTTA